TATAATTTATTTGTGTGATTAGTCCCAGCAATGAGTAATGAAGGAGTTGTGTGCTTCAAAACATAGGACTATTTAGGCAGAAGCAGAAATAACAGAGGGACTGTTCATTTCCATTACATGACACCCATATTACCATCAATATGACAGAATCATGAATCAGGAAACCAAAAATCATGGGATCAGCTCAAAAATAACACACACTCTGTTATCTTTGTCAGTCCTCTGTTTCTCAATTGTCCACGAATTCTCCTGTACCTATAAACACAAGAGCTAAAAAAGTCACTTTTAAAAGTAACAGCTGAGATTTTCACATAATCCTGCAGAGTCACACAGAATCACAGAATGTTAGAGATTGGAAGGGACCTCGAAAGATCATCTAGTCCAATCCCCTGCCGGAGCAGGAACACCTAGATCAGATTTGAAAGCACACCTCTAAATGTGAGATATACAACAAAATTGTGAACATGAGCCATCTAAGGTCACAGGGTATTTCCTATCTCAGCATGATTTAGAAGGGCTTGACAGGGACCTGAAGGAACACGCAGTTCTTGTTCCAGTTGTCTTCACAGGTTGACCCACTATCATCAGAGGAAATTACGATTACATTTTTGACCATGACCCGGATGAATGCATTTGGTACTGAACTGCTGAGAAGAAGTGGTTGCAGCTGTGTTGCACAATCCACAACAGCAATATTACACTGTCCTCCTAAATTCATAGGAATAGTGGGAACATTACAATGTTGGGCAATAGCACCTACTGGAACAAGTCATGTCATTGAAAATGGAAGGCAAAGCCTTCAGTACTATTTAGTTCAGGGAACAGCAGTTTGCAAGCATTTCTTTATTTTTCTTTTCAAAATTAGAGGTTAAGCCTGCAGAAATTCAGGTATTAGAAAATACTGCAGCTCACAATGGTGAGAAGCAGATGAATGCAAATCACTTATGTGAAGATGAATTCTTGCTTTGATGTTAGGCTGTGATCGGCTGAGCTGAGGCTTGTACTTCTTGCAAACATCTCTCTTGAGACATCATAGCTCATAGACCTGCATTGGTGCTATCCTGTCCAACCCAATTCTCCCTCCACTTGTTGGCCAAGTCTACCTATTCTCATCTAGCCAAATGCTATTTTTCTGCTTCAGATGTCTCACGGTTCAGGAGCTCTTAGTTAGATAGCACCCCTTGTTGCTATTCTGATGAGATAACAAAAAAAGGAATACATGGACTATTCCTGTAAGCTGTACCTCTGTCTCCCAACGTATCTGGAAAAGACAACTGCCCTATAAGCTGATGAATGTATTTTAATTACTCATTTACTCTGGAAACTAGCTTCTGCAAAGTTTTTTTAAAATTGATTTGCAACAGATCTAATGATTAGAAACTTCACTGCAACTAGTTTTTATCACCCACACTCTGTAAACGCGAAACCTTCTTCCTCTCCTCACATCATGACCTCTTGTTTTTCCAACCTGATTTGAAACTGAAAACCCTGCTTGGGCCACGTTCATCTCTTTCAACACATGCACTCCCTTCAAATTAATGCAGTTTTTCTGATGGCTGCAAGGCTGCAGACTCTTTATGAAGCAGGCTTTCTGTCTGCCCAGAAGCATGCTATAGACAACGCAAACAGCAATAACAGTAACACCACCCTAAAAGCAAGATCAAAAAATATCTAATGAAAACAGTGAAACAAATGAAATGTCTTGATAATTCTACTTTCCCAGAAGAGCCAGCTATACAGCAATATTTTATTTGCTAAATATAGGCACTCTCCAGGCTCAGTCGCATACAGTTCCC